CGGCCGACGCTAGTGATATCTCCCCTCTTATCTAGCTCACGTACTCTGTCACCCGTCTCACATCTCACGGCATACGCACAAGTATCATCACAGTGTTATCAGGTACAAGCAATAGCCGGATTCCGACGGGCTGGTTATCGCGGGGTTTACAAACGCAGAAACGCCTATCGTGGGAAAGGCTCCTGCCGATCTAGAACCACGAGTCAACAATGGCTGATAGGTTGATATATAACCATGCAGCTCGATTTTGAAATACATTTGCCGCGAGAAGTCAGTCAGCATACCGGAATCCCACTGGGTTGAGTAGGAGTGATCATGGTCATCGACTCCCGGAGCGAGATGGAGCCGAAGTCCAAGTACGCTGAAGAAACGGGTCAATACTCGTCCACCGAGAGTCAGGAGATAGGTACAGTGACCACGAAGTGGCAGGATACGCTCGCAGAGATCGAGTATGCTTTTACGACGAAAGATGGATGGATCGGCGACTACGTATGTCAATACTAAACCTACCCGACTATCTGCCATAGGTAGCTGATAACCCCAGGACTACGTCTACTTGATCACTCCCAACATCTGGCCCTTGAACAAAAAGTACAAAAACTACCAAGCGCCATTCTACGGACTCAACGACCGCGTACCCGTTCTCTTGACACTACTCCTCGGCCTTCAGCATGCACTCACCATGATCGGGTCCATTGTGTCACCACCACTTGCAATCGCCTCCGGGGCGTTCAACTTTGAGCCAGCTATGACGACGTACCTAGTCTCGACAGCCTTCATTACCACAGGCATTGCGACAGCTCTGCAAGTTACTCGGCTGCATATTATGAAAACGCCATTCTTCATCGGCACAGGGCTCTTGAGCGTCGTGGGACCAACATTCGACATCCTACCCATCGTCTTCAACTACGCCGCTTTACGATACAAGTCCGGCTCTTGTCCAGTTCTTGAAGACGGAACTCAAGGGCCATGCCCTGATGCGTGGGGTGCATGCTTAGGCACTATGCTGTGCTGTGTCTGGATCCAGATAGCAATGGCTTTCGTACCGCCCAAGATGCTCAACAAGATCTTTCCTAAGCTCATCACTGGATCACTTCTGACCCTCATTGGAGTCTACCTCGTTAGTAACGGACTGCAGAACTGGGGCGGATCATCAAACTGCCACGGAGGAGAGGGTTTCTACGCTCTGTGTCCGGATATCACTGCGCCACGACCGCTTGTATGGGGGCATCCGAAGCTGATCGGCTTAGGGTTCAGTGTGTTTGCTACTATCATCTTGGTCGAAGCTGTCGGTGCGCCACTTATGCGCTCAGCTTCGGTCATTATTGGTTTAGCTGTAGGATGTGCCATCTCAGGAGCAACAGGCTACTGGTCGACGGAACAGCTCGACCAAGCACCCGGCGGAACCTTTCTTTGGGTGCACACGTTCAAGCTCTCCGTTGATGGCGCGCTAGTATTGCCTATGATAATCATGTTTGCTTGTCAAGCCGTGTCTTGCATTCCCGATATCTTGGCCACTGCAGAGCTATCAGGTGTTGACATCGAAGGAACGGAGTTCAACAGCAGGATCCAAGGCGGCATTCTGTGCGACGGACTCGGAAGCTTCTTCAGTGCACTGGCTACGGGCCCGCCGATGGTCAGCCAGGCAGGCAACAACGGCGTTATTGTTCTCACCGGTTGTGCATCTCGCCGTGCAGGATGGGCAGCAAGTGGCTTCCTGATCCTCATGGGGGTCATTGCGAAGTTCGGTGCTGTCTTCGCTTCTATGCCGCCGTCTGTCCTCGGCGGTATGCAAGTCTTCCTTTACAGCACCATTGCTGTGGCCGGTATCCGTGTCCTCGCACTCATCCCATGGACCCGCCGTGATCGCTTCATCCTCGCAGTTTCTCTGGGCATTGGGTTCATGGACATATGTCAGCCCGACTGGTTTTCACAAGTTTTATCGTACGATGGGCCAAATGAGAATCTGGTAGGATTCGAGCAGGGCATCAACCTTGCTGTGGAGACCCCGTTTGTCATCGCTGCTATTGTTGGTATATTCTTGAACGCTGTACTGCCGAAGGACAAAAGCGCGGCGCCGATGGTAGGATACGGTGATGAACAGAAACATCCTAGGATAGGGCAACGTGAGGATTAGACATATATCACAGATATTAAGAGGCTTTTTCCCGAGTCATGGCGTGATGGTCTTCTTTGTGTATTCGTCTTTATGTGATTGAGCTTGTATGCATACGGCGGTGTCTCGGTACCGCTGCTGTCGCACAATGATTTCCATCGCTTATTGAAGCGACGTCTATCTCTGGTCTATCTCTGGAGTTGATAACTTACTACCAGCGGAGAGGACTTCCAGATTCTATCCTGCCATCAGCCTCGCTCTACCTTCTGCCTAACCATCCAGGCATCCAATATATGCCTTAACATCCCACTTAACACGCGACCAACATGCCACTCTATTCGGTCCTTTTCCACATGCCTCGTCGGCCTCCCGACCCCACAACCGCCCCATCACAAAGCACATCCAAGTTTCATAGTGGCCTCGCGTGGAAGTGGTATGTGGTTTCGAATAGTCTTCGGCGCGCGGCAGAAATGCGGATACCAACGACGATGCGGTGTGGGTAAGGGCTTAGCCGAATCGAACATCATTTGCAAGAATGGGGGAGGTTGGTCTGTGAAGATCTTCAAGGCTAGGAATTCTCGGCTGCCCTGCCGAGTTACATCGGCGGACGGCAGGTAAAATATCGCAGCAAGGCGAAAGTGGAGATAATGAAGCGGAGAGTGGAAATGCGAGTTTTCCCTCGAAGTGGGTTTTGACCTGACATGGCCAACGATAGGAGTTTTGGAGATTACGATGGTGATTCATGGCATTGATGATGATATTTTTGAAAACGAGGCTGTGCCAAAATTATCATTACCTCTCCACCTCGGAGTAGACCGACCGAGAAAGAATACATAGTAACAATACACGCAGTACTCGCCAAAGCGGTCCTTTCCTAGTCCCCAACGACCAATTCTCCCGCTTCTTCTCCCGCTGCCCCTGCCCTCTTGGTTCTCACGACCCTGTTCCCGAACGCTGATCATCAATGCATTGCATGCGTATCAAACAACGCGCGCTCGCGCAATCGTTCAGATCGGTGAGTGACCTCGTACAATCCACTTTTTAGCATTGTAGCAAAGCATGACTCGCCAAGCAAGTTGACGAGTCGGATGCATTAGTCAGGGAGGGTAGACGTTGGAAACTTGCTTGGCCAAGACACATGGGACAGCAACTGGGTGATGGGTGGGTTCGTTCACTGGGATTGGGAACAAAACGCACTGTGGGTAAGTCGCTTGGGGGAACATTACGATGAAACCAGGGGTCAGGGGGCGGTTTGCTGGGATTCTGGTGGTCGGCGACTATTCCGCCCGGGTTAGTGTTAGTCTGCTGTCGTCGTCGTAGTGGTGGCTGATGGAAAGTGCCGTAAAGTGTGCGTAGTAGTCTTGTTTAGAGCACGCACACGCGGCAGAGAAAGTGTGACATCTGGAAAGAAGGTTTGATGTATCTGCGGTATGCAAAAGCTGCATGTTCACGTTACATATTGCCCGCCGCGTTGTGACATGATGCAGTAGCGTACGTTTTTTCCACGCTTATCCCCCTTCCTTCGCTCCCATGTCAGATCCCATTGATCTCTAGCGTCTTCTCCACAATCATGAAAAGCGTTCCATTCGAGCCAGGCTGGCAGGGCGGCTTACTGCAGGGGGCCGTGCGTTGCAAGGTTGGCTTTTTATTTTTTTCACATGCCGAAAAGCTCAGGGGACGAGGACGCTCGAGCGGTTTTTACCTCGGGATCTTTCCAGGCTGGCGGGTGGGAGGGCGTGTGCCTCGATATTGACCCTTGGAGCCGCGAAACCCGGATTGAAAAGACCGTTGGATTTATTGTCTATACTATTGACAAACCAGGTTGGAAGGGACCCGGTTGCATCTGTGTACTAAAGTTGCACGCATGGTGCGGTCCGGTTTCCCAAACTGTTACAAGATCAACGTCGTCAACGTCGCATCGCATTGACTTGCTCGACGATCAGGAACAACGGCTAACTGCTTTTTACAAACGGTACGAGAAGCGGGTAGAAGGATGGAAGGTCGAGACGGACGGTAGGCCATCCCCACGTGCGACATGGCGATTGGTGCTTTTGCTAAACCGGCCCGTTTGAACGTTCTGGCTTCATCGAATTAGTAAAGCCTGGTGGCTGGGATGCTTTTGAGTGGTGATCTCAAGAAAGATGCATATGACGCGTGTATGTTAATGTACGATCACTTTCTGCTTTGGTATAATCTAAGGCGTCGGACGGCACCGGTGGGACTGAAGCAGGGTGAATAGATTGAGTGGGGATAGCTGGCGCGCTTATGATGTAACTTCAAGATGCCAATGTTGAAACTCAAGACTGTTCTTGGAACAACTGGGCCTTCGAACGTTTGATAGAGCGGCTGGGTACGTTGGCTTTGTTGTTGAGGTTATCATTCGTAGGCTGGCACACGACAAGTGGGTACCGTGCCCCGTATCCGTCATGAATGAGGAAGGTCATTAATATACGTTGCGATAATGAGGGTACAGTGTCTTTGTTCAGAGTATTATTACAGTGATGGTGTTTACGCTAGATAACATCGCTAGCGGCGCGTAATCGTCATTGCGGTCGTGCTTGCAGGTATCGCAAGATCAGCGTATTGTACAGGCGCGCTTGTTGCAGCGCTTTTTTGGGGACTCCCGTCTCACGGTGGTGGTACAGCTGAACTGTCTTCTCAATCGACCTTCTTTTCCAAGCGGGCGCACCTTCATCCATCAAAGAGTGGTTTGGACAGCAATGTGAATGACGCCGAAGCGTGTCATGCCGTCATCTCGCCGTGACCAAGGTCAGACAATGTGATGGTCATGCGCTTGCCACTCTCCACACTTCTCCGCTCACTGTGGTTCCTGCGAAGTGCATTGCACAAGCGGTGTAATCTTGATCGGGGTTGACGTCATGCCTCAACGCGCGCGTTTGTACATTGACTGGTCGCCCATGGAAGCGTTGTCGTCCCACCGGCGCTTGAGCCCATCCGGTAAAGAGCTGGCAACTGCTTCCTGCCACATCGAAGGGGTAACGTATACGGGTGCAGTGTTTCCATATGTCGAGGCTGGTGGCATCTGGCCTGGGACTGCATGGACATTGCTGGACTGGGGCGATGTGTTCGATATTTGGTAGCCTGGTTGCATAGCCTCCTGCGCTGGCCGCATATCGTAATTGGTTCCTGGAGGATGGGGTCTTAGCGGCGGAGAAGCCTGAGAGGACGCGCTAGTAGGAGGGGGCGTACCAAAGGCTACATTCCATTGACTGTATTGTATTAGTTTGTTGTTTGAATGAGAACGTGATGATTGAACTTACTCAAAGATGCGTTGTGGGTTCCATTGGGCGTTCTCCGGCATTTGCATACCAGAAGGTGGCTGAGCTGCACGGTGACCAGACGCCATCATGACCAAAGACTGAGCTACTGGAGAGTCAGCCTTGGATCCGCGGTCGGATGCCGAAATTGGTGGAGTAATGGGGAGTGCATGGTAGTTGACCTGACCTGGTTGTTCCAAGGGCGAGGGATGGCTCGGGTGACGAGGTCGGTACGATCCCTGGTGACCCATAGGGCTTGTTTGTGGAGCTACTTGTGGGCTTCCGAATGGGAATGTCGGTTTCAGTTCAAAAGCTTTTGAACAATCGGCCGAGAACGCTTGACGCAGGCTGTTGACTTGCTGTTGCATCTCAGGCATCGGGAACGAGGGAGACATGGTTTCCAGGACACGCATGTGGCGTACGAAGAAGTTCCTGGCATCATGGTTGATATCTGGGTCCGGGCATGTCACCGCAACCTACGGCTGTTAGTCAGATGCTTTACTGTACAATGGATATGACATACCAGGTGCAGCATGGTGCAGGTCAACACGGCGTAGATGTGGAAACTTATGCCTCGCATCATGCAAAGTAATCCAGGCATGCCGTAGGTCTTAAGAATCGCCTCTTGAAGTTTGCATAGGTTTTTGGCGGCCGAGTAACATGTGAGCATATGCTGCTTCCATATACCATCATATGACTCTGATACGGCATGTAGCTGCGGGCGGAAGTGCATAATGATGGCCAAACAGTGATAGGCGTGCATATTCGCCAGCTGATGGGACGGGATCCAAGGAGCAGAGCCATCCTGGGGGTAGACAATCTGCATGTCCTCCGGAAGCTCTCGTAACCAGAGGGAAAAGTCGGTGTTGTGGCCAACAAAAGCTGGATCCAGTGCCCAGTCCGGGTTCTTCTTCCTGAGTCTTCCGTACACGAGGGCCGAATGGTGAACGTTCTTAACAATACGGGCGTACTGTACGAACTGACGCGCAATCTGAAGCTCGGAAGGATCCTGTCCTGCGATGTGTCTGGGCATCTCCAAGTCTACGGTATCAGTGGTAACACCAAAGTCATAGCGTCCTATAGAAGTCAGCATCTCCAAGTACCTTCTACAAAACCAACATACCTTGAGGACCGCCAATCATGACCTCGAAGACCATGCACATCTGCCATACCCTCGTTTTGGCAACACAGTCGTGTACTGTCGATCCGCATGATTTGCCCATCTGATGGGTGTCGTAATGTTCGTGTAATTCGAGGTCCTTCGCCATGGCTACAAGGCTGACAGTCGCCATCCAAGAACGCCAGAAGTATCCTCGCTTTGGTGAAGCTTCACGAGCTTTCAGCAATAGAATCATTGCCTGCATTGTACTCAAGCGGGACACGTCTTTGAAGCTCTCTTCGTGCTCTGTAACATGTCAGTAATCGTTGTTTTGTCATTACAGGGCGCTACTGACTTGTGGCAAGGGCCAGCCATTTGTTGCCCTCCTCTGAGTCACCCAGCATCAACGAAGAACAAGCAAAGATGGACTCTAGCATGAGTGGAGAGATGGAGTCCGGAGCGCTGTGCCATTGCTGGTAGAAGTAGGCCTTGTTGATGACGGGGCAATATGGGTGAACGTTGGCGAAAAAGTAGTCAAAGTAATGCATTGCCCGATCATCATCAGGCATCATCTCCGGTGGTATGCGGACCGTATGATCGAGGCTTACAGAAGCTGGTAGTACGACCTCGTACTCCTCTTGCGCGGGTGTTTCGGCCAGCGCCTTCTTCATGTTAGTGATGTATGGGGCTAGACTGATTAGCTTGATATTTTTGCAGCAAGGTGCCATGGAGCTCACCAATGGCTGTATGGTCGATCTTGAGTTCACCCAGTGCCTCGGATAGACTAGATACAGAGTCACTTCGCCAATGGGGTTCCGATTCCGGTGGAGTCAGGATCGCAGGCGGGCCAGCGGATTGTTGTGAGTAGCCGTGCTGAGGCGCGTAGCTCATGGTTTGCTGGATGACCTGGGGCTGAGACATGGGCTGATAATGGCACGACTCCTGGGACTGTTGATCCACGTAGGGCGAAGGTTGGTACATGCCTTGGGTAGTCGGCATGGAAGGCGGCATCTGGTGAGACATGGCCTGCGACATGGATGGATGGCGCTGATAGTCATGTTGTGGAGATGGGTCCGGGGCATACTCGAGCGGTTTGGGCTCCAGGTCAAAGGTTTGCGAACCGTTGTAGTCCTTGTCATAGCTGACTGTGGGCGGCACACAGTTAAGCTTCAGACGAATGCAAGCAGCACAGGGCCATGCATTCGTTGTTGCCGCGTCGCACTTGATTTTGCGTCTACGACATCCTTCGCATGCTCTCATTACTGCTCTGCATTAGCATCTGCATGTCAAGTCAAAATGTGCCTTCATACCTTTCAGTCGTTTGTGTCTATTGTGTTCGTCTACGAATACATAATCTGGAGATGTTGTCAGCTGCCTTGTCCCCAAGACGCTGAGCGGCGTGTGGACTCACTGCGCTGGTTTTCGCGCGGTGCCAGCGTGGGCGGCGCAAAGGTGAAGCTCTGCATTTGCGCCGTTTGTGGCAGCAGTGGCCGTCCAGTGGTCTCCGGGGGCATAACGTTAATAGCTACCACGAGCCGGTCCGGAGTGACAGCGCAAGGCCTTGCGCAATGGTTGCAAGCAGCGGGGTTGTCGGCTATCCACTAAGTCGATGAGGTTGTGTGCGGTGGTCGGTGTGCAGCCAATGGTAGCGGCGCGCGATGACGGTCCAGAATGTCCTGAGGGTCGGCGGACGGAAGAAATCGCGGAATGGCCAAAACTATACACAAGGAAAGCGAAATCGAGAACAGATGCACTGTAGAATGCTATAGCGCAAGGGAAATCTCCGCGACGCCGCGGCGTCGTTAGGTTATACGGCAGATCAGGGCAGAAGGCGCATAGGGATGGTAGGTGGAGACGATGTCTGGCATACCGGGGTTTCGAAGACGCACTGGCAGCGGGCTCGCAGCGTGGCTCACGCGCACAATAGTGGCGTCGCAGTGTATGGATCTCCTGAAAGGCGAGAGTATTGTGGTCCTAGGCGGTTGGCCGTGTATGAAGGGGTCGATAGGCGGGCGAGGGGTAGACGATATGCGACTTAAGCGTGCAGGATCCAGGAGCCGCACTGCTGCACAAGTAGCGCCTTTGGTATGGGCGCCCAAGCTGCACGCGCGTGAGCGCAAGCGTCCGCTACCAAGATGCTGCGGGCACAGGGAACTGCCGTGCTGTGGGGGTGTGAGGCAATGGGCAGCAGGGATTGTGGTGCCCGTTGGAGACGGCCTGAATCGTAACACGTAGAACGACGGGTAGTGTGGACCTCCTCGAAGCACTGCCATGGGCCGGGAACGATTGCTATAAAATCAGCGGGGGCAAAGTCTGACAGCTGAGAAGACGGTGGTACATGGCGGCATTCTCACTCAGCAGACTTCAAGGCAAAGTAAAAAACTTCAGCGGACCGAGTACGCAAGCTGTTGCGAGGCTCTGGTGGCGGCTGCATTTGCTGGATTGCCCAGAAAAAGAAGATCAGACGTGACCAGTAGACTGCAGCAGCCCGGACCTGGCCGTGATAGGGCTGGACAATGTCGAAAACCTTGCGCATGCATTTAGTCGGTTCATAGTCGTACCTAGTTTCTCATCTCGCACAGCCTTAGGTGCCTGAATGTTTGAGACATGGTCTGGCAGTGTCACCGCAATGACAGGTGGGCCTTCTAGAAAGTGATCTCCGGCTGCTAGCCTCGATGACGAATATTATGCTTTAGCCGACATATAATACAGCAGGTGTACGACTATAGCTGGCTAGATAGGGGTACACAGATGGCTCTGGTAGGACGCTGCACAACCTGCCAGGAGCTAAAGCGAAACAAGTCTTGTCCACATAGTCGCGGAAGAGACTTGGCTGGAGGCAGCATGAGGATAGGCGTCCACTACTCGACGCGCTTTGGCCTCGTTGATGTGCCGCTCTGATCGGTGGCATCTCCATGGCCGCAGACTCGACGTTCACTCGAGACTTTGCATGGGTTGGGCAGACGGGATCCCGTCGCATGCCGCAAAGGCTACGGCAGAACCGGTGTGTGTCGTTGAGCACGACACATCGGCGAATTGATTCGTGCGGAAGCTTGGTAGGGCCATGTGCAGGCAAGGTTCTAACGGCAGACGCATCACCATCAGCGTAGCCCGCATGAAACAATATTACTCCAGATGCTACCCTCAGTTGGGCTAACAAGATTCTCGAATATGTAGGTAGCATGCACAGACAGACGGCATAGCATTTGCATGAGCCGAATACGAGATATTGCGGCCGCGAAGCGAAACGTAGCTGAGGAGACTTGTCGAGGGCTTCGATCCGGCGCATGGATCGTATTTTCGTCCGCCACTGGCGATTGCATGACATGAAGAACGACCGAAGATTGCATGGAGAGCTAAAGTTAGGGTCGAAAATCCCTTTCTTTAAGGGCTGTTGTAATCTGTCAACCATGTTGCCGGGTCGCGTTCTCTCTCGCGCGGCAGGCGACAAGGCAGCTGAAAGATTAGTTCCCCACCACGCAGGTGGTATGATGGTGATGGCGATGGCAGTCAAGGCGCAGTCAGGTTACGAGTGCTAGCTTCGATCACGCAGAGACATGACGGGCGTTGCCAAGGGGTGCTTTGTATGGAGCAAGACGGGATGGTGCCATGACTGACAGGTGCTGGCGCCAGGCTACCGTCGACCTTTGGAAGGTCGATAGAAGCAGTGGTTTCCGTGGCGCGTGGTAAGATAACACGATACTGACCTCATCAGTCATGCTGCGCTGATCACTGCCGTTGATCTCCCTGCAGCTCAGGAACACGGCAAGCAAAGCAGGGACAATCCAGCAGCGCGGTCAGTCGTACGCCGGATGAGGCAGCACTTCCGTTATGAAGGCACAAGTGCGGGAGGAGCCGACACAGGTGGTTGGGACGAGACTGCCATTGGGAGTGATTAGTGAGAAACATGTCGTCAACACGATCACCATGGGCGCGCGAGCTTGGGAGGTGAGCAGGTGGTGGATCAGCCGGAAGCGTCGGCTGCCGATGGGGTTGAAGCCCAAGGGCAGTCGCCAGCCGCGCTGTTTCTCACCTTCTGGATGCGCACTGGGGATTTGCCGAGGCTGGCCGAGCAGAACGGCAGCAGGCAGGAGGCCACGAACTGTATACCCCGGCGGCGTGATGGAATGACACGAAGCTGCAGACACTAGTCAAACACACGGGTGCCCTGGTGCTGTGGTGTGAACGGTGCACCCCACACAAGTGTCCCCTGTATGTCGCGGATAATCTGCGGGAAATTGAGGGCTTACAGAGCAATTGCTAAGGCGGCGGGCATGGCCGGGGGCGGCGGTGGTGGAGGTGGTGGTGAGGGTGAAGGTGAAGGCGGGTGACATGTTCCGAGTGTCTGGCTGGCTAGCACATGCTAGATGACGAACACCGAGGAGGGGCTACTGGTGGCCCGGGCGCGCCTTCCTCGCAGATTTGCTGGAGAGGCAGGAGCCCACGACGGCTCCTTCCCTCCGCCACCATCACACCACGACGCTGCGACCCCTGCCAACCGCCGCCATGGAGCTCGACAAGGACAACGCCAACCCGACCATCCTAAATCCCTCGGATCTGCCCTCCCGCCGCAGCGACAGCACGGCAAAGAGGCGCGATGACGGCGGGACCGGCCTGTTCGACAACCTGATACCGCGCTACAACTACCTCAGCGACCCCTTCGACGACAGCGTCTCAGCCGGCGATTCAGACAGCGACGACGCACGTGAGGACATTGACGAGCAGGAAATCTACGGTAGGCGCGCCCGCGGGCCCTCGATGGCGTTAACGTTTGGCTGACCCCGCGCATGACAGACCTCATTTCCACCATCTGCGACCCTGAACACCCGCTGTCCCTCGGCTCGCTGTCCGTCGTCAACCTGCCAGACATCCACATTCTGCCCCCCTCCTCACCGCTCTCGAGCATCAGCACCGTCGTCGTCGAGATCACGCCGACCATCACCCACTGCTCGCTGGCCACCGTCATCGGCCTGGGCGTGCGCGTCCGTCTCGAACAGGCACTACCTCCGCGCTTCCGCGTCGATGTCCGCATCAAGAAGGGCACCCACAGCACCGACGAGCAGGTCAACAAGCAGCTGGGCGACAAGGAGCGCGTCGCCGCTGCCCTCGAGAACGGCACCCTGATGGGCGTGCTGAAGAAGATGCTCTCTACATGCGAGTAGATTCCCCGCCATGATTTGTCTGGAAGACAGCCATATCACGATATCGGCTCTTCTTTCATCGGCGTCACCAAGACATCATCTCCGCCACACCCGCACACCGTGCACCATACACCGTACACCGTATTCCTACGAACATGGCATCATCCCTCCGACGGACACCGGGATGAGTAGTCGCCCAAGGAGGAAAGCCTCGGCTGTTCACAATATTGATGTTGTCCGGCAATATGCAAACCGCACATGCATGCGGCGCGTACGCTATCCCTGCGTCGATCATTAGCGTCGTGTTGGATATAGCATGTTCCTGCAGGCTAATGTCGTACACAAAGTCAATTTCGACCTCACCACAGGTGCATCGCGGGTGGAGGGTGGGATTTCGCTGGCCGTCCAGGCGAAAACAAGTTTCGATGGCCAAGATGCCCGATTGGGTACGCAGGATGATGTGCCTTCACAGTAAAAGCCCGGTGATTTAGCCGCGAGCACATTCTGCAGCCTTGGAGGTTATGAGGCGAGTAGGATTATGAGCAAACACAGATGTATAGACGTCTTATGAACAGTCTGAAATTGACTGGGCTCATGCTAGCACACATCTTTCACGTGTTCGAGTCACACATCAAAATGCAGATAGCAATCGACGCAGCGTACACAAGCCAAAATCACATTTGGACTGGCAACATGGAACTTTGCTCTACGAATAACCTGACGTTTCTACACCCTGGCCAACCTCGAATCACTCTTTCTCACTACCCATCCTCCTTCCTGATCCTGTTATGATCCAATTGTTTTCCCAAACTCCTGTAGTGCCTTGATCTTCTCTATCCTGGCCAAGATTTTAGCCTCGTCATCCAAGTCGTCGGAACTGTCCTCCAATTCCTTAATCGCGTGTTCGAATATCATCAGCTGCGCTCTGAGACGTCGGTTCTTAGCCCTCAGCTCTTCGTTCTGTCTTTCCGCCTCGCAGATCTGCGCTTCTTCCCAGAGTGAATGAAGGACGAGGAGGGTCGGGCTCGCGATGAATATGACGATGTGTGGGACTTTTGTGAGACCGGCGTAGTTTAGCGCGGATATTGCGATGGAGGCCGCGAGAGCAAGGAAGTAGGCAAGGAAGTGCTTTGGGATGGAGATCGGCATGTAGAGTTCCATGATGGTAGCTGGTGGGAAACCGGCGCGACTGCTTGGGTCGAGATGTGATGGTGTGAGTCTTGTCTTGATCTAGGTACGAAGAAGGAAGTAGAAGACGACTTTGTTAGCGGGTAGGCGCAGTGTGTACGCACTTGCCGCTGCACTCACTTCAGCTCAGCAAAATACAATTTACAGGCAATCGCTGTATGCTCCATAGCACCGCGTTGGTGTAATCACAACCGATAATTTCACAGTGTAGTCTCCGCATTCAACCCTCCTAAAATACAGCTTTCTTATTCGCGACTCCTTTGCAAACCCAAAAAAACTCAACATGCTCGTACCAGCTCTAAGTGAGATCCTCTACTGGTTCATCCATGCTATAATATCGGTGAACTTCTGGTTCATCGTATGGCAGATGCACCAGGGTCACAAATGTCTCCACCCTCTTTTTTGCGGCAGCCCTGGAGGCCTCGAGGCAAACGGTAACCGCGCGTCTACTCCATCCAGCGACGCCATAATTCACGTATGGCGGTTAGCAGAAAGCTGGAAGGCTTGGAACAGAATGGGTGCGAAGTAACAGGTGGAACAGATGCAATGAATGCGAATAGATTATTTGAAAAGTACCTAGGTAACCTGCCTAATTGCAAAAGTTTGAAGCGAACTGTGTGACAATATAGCAGCGTGTGAAAAGTAGATGAGTGATTTTTATTTCCTAGACACCAAAGTAGTCGATACTAAGAAGTGAATGAACCAGAAGCCAAACACTCCCGCCGTTAGCTCCGCCCAATCCGATTTCTACCGACCCGCAAGACTAACGCAGTGACCTTGGAGCTTATGAGCCTTCTCACAAGCCAACTCTCGTTCAAAGTGCCTTGTTGCTGCGCACCAACACCTCACTTCTCTCCACCATGTCGCAACCCCAGCCGTCCGCATGGCTCGTACTCCCATGCATGCTCCTCTCCCTCGTCATCACCCGCTTCCTCACCGCACTTTTCACACCACACAACGAGCGTGGCCTGAGCATAGTCGCCAAAGCAGCACTCATCTTCATCGCAACACTCGTCCTCACCACAACAGCAGCGACCTCACTGTCCCAATATCTAGAGACCACGCAGCCGCATACCAGAAACGTTCTGCGAAAGAGACGCAATGTCTCGCCCTTGCGCGAAGAGCGCATTCAGGCATGGCGCGTAAACACTGCGCCGACTCTTCATTGGAGCTCTTCCTCGTCGGATGAGGATGTGAAGGCTGTGAAGCAGAAGCTTGTTCAAGAGAAGAAGGAGAGGCGGGATGAGAAGTCGCTGAGGAAGCGCTTGATGCTGAAGTTCAAACCGAAGAGGAACGAAATGCTTGGGGGTAGGAAAGAGACTATTGAGGTTGTTGTGCGGGAAGATCCTTGGGCCTAGATACCGAGGGATGGAAAAAGCACGATTGATCTTCTGAGTGTATACAAGAAGGCAGGGTTGTAGACGATATTTGGGTGTGACAACTGTTACTGGCACTTGCCCCGTCTGTTTCTTCCCATCTCATCGTAGTTCCCATTTGGTACCTAGGTAGACACCGGAAGTACAAAAAGGTAGCGAGCAGAAAGTTTTGAACACTCGAGCAACGTACATCCAAGCACAACTTCAACCCCCGTCGGTCAAATCCCAACGCATGACACAACCAGTTCAACACTCACTTCTTCACGCTCGTGCCCATCATCTCCAAAACTACTCAACACCCTCCCATCACCAACACTCCCCTCTCCACCCCCTCAATACCTCACCACAACCCTCGACATAGCCCTAACCTCCGCCTCCGCCTCCAGAATCTCCAAAATCTCCCTCTCCAGCCCAGCATTCACCGCAGTCCCCTCAGAAGGATACGCATCTCCAAACGCCGAATTTGCCGTCGTCGTAACACCACTTCTGTCGTATAGTGGTACGCCTCGCTCCCAGATGGATATAGCTGTCTTCCTGCCGTCCGTGCTGCTCTCTTCGTCGGTGTGCGCGCGCTTGCGAAACAGCCTGGGCAAGCTGATTGGTTTGGTGCGGAAATAGATGATGGCGCTGATGATGTAGATGGTGATGCCGATGGTGCCGACTACGCATATGAGGCCGATGGCTGTTGGGGTGAGGGTTTCGGAGGTCAGGGCTTCGAGTGCGGAGCGGGTGTGCAGGTAAGGCGCTGGGGTGGCTGGGGGAGTGGAAGATGGGTAGGAGATGGGCGCCATGATTGTTGAGGGGATCGTCGCTTTTGCGAGTAGATTTGTTGCGTTGTGTGTCGTTTCGAAGGGACTGAACTGAAGACCTTTGAAAGCGTGTGCGTGGACTCGTCGCTTTTGCGAGTATACTCGTTGCGTGGTGTGTTGTTTTGAAAGGACTGATTTGGAAATTTTTGAAAGTGTGTGCGTGGACGTTGTTCACCGGCGGAAGAGCGGTGTTGGTGTTGGTGTTGTTTGGGGACAGACGGAGTCATAGGGATGCTTAATCTGCCAGTGGAGAGGAGTGTGGGTGAGCGTAATTTTTGCGCGACATGTTTCGTTTGCTACGAAAAAAGTGAAAGGGAGGGGAGACACGTGCGGCCTCGTCTCTTGGGGTCTGATGAAAGCGATCTCTCTCATTTGAGGAGTACTTTTGAGTGTGGGATGGTGATGTATTGCGGGAGTCGTGAGTGGCTCGTCGATGCCCTGCCTTATCGCAGTACCAGTATATGGAGTGGATGACAACCAAAGTATCGAATCGCATACACCGCAGTGATTTGTCTCATGGAGATAGAGACTGTACGAGGGAAAATGCACAGGAGAAGCGACATGGACGACAAAAGAGAAGGCTCGTTCGTGATGTCGAAAGTTTGATGCCATATTTGTGGGTAGGCAAAACGAAGGAGAAACGCACGTATGTGGAAGAGCAAGTTGACGTTGATGGCCATATCAGATATGAGCCTGAAGGGGCAACCTCCATGTCCCGTGAACTAGAGAGGAATTGAAGCAGGGCGTGTAAACGATTCGAATCGAACAGAGAGTAGAAGAGTAGAGCAAGAACCAAGACGGGCGAGGATATCACCTCACTCTCCTCAAGGGTATATTCATATCACCAGCTCTGCAAGCGCTCTTCGTGCTTGCGCAATCTCTGCGCTTGTTCCCGGTCCAGAATCCTAGCTCTTGCGCTTGGCCACGCTCTTATATACCGTGGGTTGTCATGTCACATTGCGTTCGCCCACGCGCGTCTTGCCCTCCTCATGTTGCCGCACGAACGGTCGCTTCATCACGCGTTATCCTAGCACCTGATGTCCTTCCTTTCTCATTTCGCCTTGTTCTTCGCCGCCTCAGCCTCTCTCCTTGTCGCGTCTTCGAGTAGTGCGGTGTCGACAGCGCCGGAGGGAAGGTGTACGTATCGGACGACGGAACCGCGGATGAACATGTCTTTTGTCGAGCACTGTTAACGACTTAGCATCTGTTCCTCCCGTAAACTCATCTCGCCATCTCTCTGGTACGCTGTCTGGTCCGTACGCAGAAGAGAGTCGCGATGCACAAACGTACCAAATGCGGCCACCTCAGCTCATCCACCGCCTCTGCATTGTCCAGCTTGATGTTCAGGTACTGGTCGACGCTCTTGAGTGTTCCGCGGATCTGGACTTCGTTCTTGAGTTCGACGGTGATTTCGTGCTCGACGAGCGTTTTGAAGAAGCTATTGCCCTGTCAGTTGCTGTTGCGTCATTATCGATGCGGACCGGGGACTCACCTGAAGAAGAGCATCGTGTATGTGAGAGAGAAAGGATTGGGGTAGAGACGTCGGAGATACAGCTAAGCGCAAGTTGGGTCGAGTGGTCGCGACTTGCGGTGCACATGGCACAGTGACGAGGTTATGCGCTGCGCATGGACCGCGTGGGGTTCGCGCCGCTGCGAGCGAGGCTGATCTGCCGCCTCGCCCTGTCTCTCACTCCGGCATCACCATCACATTGATAGGCAGACACCCAGATAACCAAATGTGACGACTGTGATAGACACTGTCTTCAATTCATCTACAAAAGAAATTCGCTATTGTGGTATCAACCTAGTCCAGTCCAGTCCAGCCTATCCAACACCGTCTACCCAAAACCATCGTAATTGTATCACATCATGTTCAATCCCGTTGCCATTACTTCCTCGCCCAGCCGGACAAAGTCCTCCATCCAGCGTGGCCTGTCGCGCCCTCCTCTAGCACGTTGACGACTCCCTCCAATAGCTTCTCCTCGTCCTTGCCCATCTCCATTTGCAATCGAAGCAGCCACCTCTCCCATGCCCAGCTTCCAACTACACCTGTCAACATCGCCGCGTCCATGGTGGTGCCGAAGACTGGCGCGTCCTCGAGCTCAATCTCGCCGTCTTCTGTGATGCGACGCTCCTGGTGCTTTGGCTCCGCGCCAACGGCAAGTGTGTCCTTCCAGTTCGCTGCCGTCTTTCCCATGGGAAGGAGCATCCACGCCCTTTGAACGTCCTTGAAGCCCGCCTTGGAGACGCGCGGGAGGAATGTCTTGGTAGGCTGAGCGTCGTAGCCGCGGGTCTTGAGGTTGAAGCCGAACTCGACACCCATGGCCTGAGCGTTGCGGCCAGCATGGACAACATCGGCATCCATGAGGCTGAAGTCAAGAATACCACCGGGCTTGAGGCAGCGGTAGCACTCCTTCAAGCACAGGTCGTACTCGTCTGATGACTTGCCGACAGGCTTGCTTGTCTTGAGGAGCTCGTAAAGTGTGCGTGCCGAAACGACATCAAAGTGACCAGATGGGAAGGGAAGAGTCCACAGGTTGGGAACGGTAAGGTGCTTATGGTTGTCGGGGCCCTTGACGTTAGATGACATGTTGTTACCCGCAGTGTAGACAGTAGTCACTGTAGCGTATGGGTAGTCATAGGCAACGTCCCACGCCCAATCGTTGGTGGCGACACCACCAACGTCGAGGATGCGTGGAGAACTAGCGCGTGTGATGCATCGCGCGGCAGGTTTGCTGAGAAGCTTGCCACCGTTGAGTTGCTTCTGAGCTTGCAAGACCCAGTGGATGGGCAGCATCTGGTCGAGCGCTTGACGCTCCGTCTGTGCGCGCGCAATCCTCTCCTTTAGTACAGTTGGGTCATTGACGAAGAACTCAGATACAGGTCGCGGTGGCGCTGGGCGCTCTGGCTGGCAAAGCTCGAACTTTCCCAGGAGCTGGTCGCGATGTGCAAGAGGATTGCAGCGTCGCTGTACGTGCATAGCCTCAGCGCGAGTCTGACGGTGGATGAACGTATCCTTCTCTTGGCACCGAGAGTGAAGGTACTCAAGGCCTTGGACGTAGGTGGTGATGGGCTCATCTGCCGACTCCTTGACTGGAGACTTGGCCGGCTCATCCGCGAACTTGACTGACTTCTTGAC